ACAATGGAGAAGAACTCGACTTTATTTCTTGGTGTTTTTTTCCTCATCGTTTCATATAATATTGAAGATACTTCTAAAATTCGAATATTTATTAAATCTCTTATGCAAAGTTATAGATAAATTTAAGTTAAGTCATAAATAAATTTATCGAATTTGATATATAAAACAAATTTTTTTCTAGCGCGGATGATGATATGCGCTAAAGCCTTATAATTTGTTTCTTCTAAAGATTTCGGAAATTGTATATATATAGATTACGAGTTTCATCATATGCTGCAGGTTACGATTGGACGTTACTTCCGGTGACTTCGCGCGCCGGCGGACGAAGAAGCGCCCACGTGAAGCGCCCGATGAACGCCTTCATGGTGTGGGCACAGGCGGCAAGGCGAAGATTAGCCGACCAATATCCACAATTGCACAACGCCGAGTTGTCGAAGACGCTGGGAAAATTGTGGAGGTAATCTAGATTTCACCAGACTGTAGGTAGATACCTGTAATTGTCAAAGAAATCGAGTCGCAGTTTGCATTTTGTTACAGGGTGATTTCGAGATCTTTGGGTAGCTTTAAATTATCATAACTTTCGTTTTATGTATTTATGATAAGATTAATCTGTAAAAGGAGTAAGTGAAAGAATGATACTTCAATTTTATACGTGCATTAATTTATTCTTCTCGAATTATTGCCTCCCAATATGTACATTGTCATTGTATATAAATTGGGATATAATTTTCTATAAATATATTTTGCAGCCATTTATAATAATACTTTAAATCGCATTAATTATTCTAATCCATAGATCGTCTAGAGAATGAAGCTTTCCTAAAAATAGAAGAATCAAACGAAGAAATATTGATGTTTTTTTTTTAATCAAACCGATTTATTTATTCCGCACGGAAAGAATGATTTGGCTCAAGTATTTACAAATTTAGCTAGATATAAATTCAAAAATTATTTTATTGAACTATCAAAATAATTATGTATAGCAATCTCAAGCATGATAAGTAATGTTGTAAAATTTAAAATAATTATTTTGAGATCGGTGTATCTAGCTAAATTTTATTTTATTCAGTATCATTAAAATCTTTCTAAGATGCTTCTGAGCATCAGAAACTATTAAATTGTTAGTCAATTTAATTTGTAATATTATTACAGTAATTTAGTTGCGTTTCAAGATCGAAAAATCATTTCAGCACGCAGTTTAAATAACTACATATGTAGTACATAAACTCACGCCAAATTATCTTATATAAGCATCTAAGATCCAACTTGACCGTTAAAGGCTTTATTTCTTACTTGTGTAATCACATTTACGGTCTCGAGAAATTCTTGAATAGCTAAATTTTTAGATATGTATAAGCTCTTCAGCAAAACTATCTTTTCCATGCATAAAGTTCGATACTTAAGTAGGTACATATTCCTTGCATTAAGTAGCAATACCGGAGATTGCGAATTGTATTTTGTTGCAGGATCCTGAGCGACGGCGAGAAGCAGCCGTTCATCGAGGAAGCCGAGAGACTGCGGAACGCACACAAGAAGCAGCATCCGCATTACAAGGTAAACGACCGCCGAATTAACCGATTGACGACATACAGTCGCAGCGGAATTACGCATTCGCATCTTAATCGCGCATCATTAGGAATAATATGAGGAATGTATCTCGTGCGTTACGAAATCGCACGGCCGGTTCGCGATCGAGCGGCCCGATTCGCGCGCGATGGCGGAACGAATTAGCGTATGCAAAACGCGCATTCGTCTCTCTGAGTGCTCGAGTGGTTAATCGAGGCTCGATCACCCGAGCGATTTGAATCCCACCGCGTTGCGCGTCGGCGATGATTTACGAGAAGGGGAAATGAATTCACCACGATGAAGCCATCCGTGTCGCCGCTCCATGCGAGGCGAGAAAGTCGAGCAGCGGTGACGAGACGCGGCGACCGGGATGCGGAAAAAGCGAAGCTTTTACCGGTTTCAAGCACATTGTTAAATTTATAGTGTCATGTTTAACCTAATTTAAGTCACCACTGTTCCTACCGCTCCTACTCAATTATCATTATTTTATGCTAAAACAATGATTAAACACTTGACACTATAGAGTTAAATTAACACTCATATAGTGTCAAATTTAATCATTGTTTTAGTATAAAATAACACTACTAAGATAATACTACAGTTTTGGCAACCTGCGAGTGACTCTACATCAGACGATCGTTGAAGTTTTATTTGGTTAAGAAATTTGCTGATGAAGATTCCAAAGAGAATCGAAACGTTCAAGATATCAATATTTCAAATAAAGATGAGATCAACACATCACATGAAGTAACAAATTTTATTTGTGAAGATTTATTGCGCACCTTCGCCCGCACTGATTCTCATTAGCTCACATTTAAGTTATTTTTTGTTATTGTATAAAATAACGATATACTGAACAGGAATGGGGACTTAAATTAGATTAAATTTGACATTAAAGATTGATTAACAATGCAGCTTTGTTGAAAAAAGAAAAAATTACTTGTCTAACTTATCCGCTAATTTAATAATCATTTGAAATATTTTTATCTCGACGGTGAAAAAATATGAATTGTAAAATATTGTTTTTTAAAAAAACCTATTTTTTAAAAGCGTTATATTAATTAAAATCTTAATTTTTTTTAGAAATACTGTCATAATAAAGCTACTTAACATACTTATTCTGTTTAATATTTGTTTGATTTCTTTTTTAAAAAATTATAATTAAATTTGTATCTATTTTCTCAAATACTGATAAATCAAAAAACAATCAATAATATTGTATATTTAATGTTGTTAATAATAGGGATTTTAATTAAAATGTAAAAATACACCTTGGGTGATCATTTATGATAAAAAGATCAAATGACAATTTCCGGATTAATCTAATTCGTTTAATTTATCTGATTATGTAATTTCGTAGATTTTGTAATAACAATAACTTTATTATGATTATACAAGGTTTATTAATAACAAGATATGTAGATATGTGCGTGAAAGACAAAATTATACGCGCATAAAAGGATGCCTAAAGGTACCTGAATTAAAACATGACATTAAATGCAAAATGGAAAGAGTGAGTAAAAAGAAAAACGCGATAAGTAGAATACATATAATAGACAGAGACATATAGGACAAAACACAAAACCTTGAAATTTTTTTATGTAAATTTGTTACACGTCATTATTTTTGTGTCCATTTACTAAATTACAATGTTAATTTATTTATGGATTATTTAACCCTTTGGCCTACAACCACGAGTGAGACTCGTGGTAAGGAATTTGGTCCATAAACAATAAGCACGAGTCTCACTTACCAAATTCCTTACCACGAGTCTCACTCGTGGTTGTAGGCCAAAGGGTTAACAGATTTCAGAGCAGGATATTAAATAAAAAGGTAAATATTCTTTAAAATTAAATTCATTGATTCTTCACTGCAATCATATCGGGATACATCAGAAAATTACATAAAATATTTCAATATTCAATATATAGCACAAAAAAAGAAGTTACACAATTTTTCACTACTTGTAACGCAGTATGATTCCAGCGAGACTTATCTTGAGATGACTAATTCAAACACAATGTGGTATCGTTCGTAGTATCAACCTCGTCGCAGGAAGCCGAAATCGGACGATCAGATGGGTATTATCGTGCACAGGGGTGGACTTCCATCACCGGGGACCTCCCTCGACTCCTCGGCCAGTTCCTCGGACTGCACCTATGCCCGCTTATACCCGGACGCTGGTGTAAAGGCGTACGAGCGACCGACGGCCTATCACGAACCGAAATCTAGCGCTTACGACTTAGCTCGACCGGTCTGGGTCAACGAGACAGTCGCCAAGTATCCCGCTGTCGATCATCCTAACAAGTCGACGTACGAGACGACAGCCAGAAGCTATACCGAGGCAAAATGCCACGAAGTAGCCAAGTACCATCACGAGATGACCGGCACCAAGTATCACCACGAGATGGTCGGTACCAAGTACCATCACCATCATGAGTCGGCGGCGACCAAGTATCCAGATCTACAGGCCAAACCCTATGATCTGCCCAAGTACCCGGAAGCCAAGGGATATCCGGATGGTCTCAAGTACTCCGCGGAGATGAGCAGCGGCGCGGCTGTAGCTG